TCACACGGTATAATATAAAATTTAAAATAGTATCAATATTTCTTCAAGTCCAGGAGCTAATGACAAAATAATATGGCAATCAGTTACAAAAGGTTTGATCCCCCCAAATTTGTAGTGGATGTCTATACGAGTAAAATCAACTGGTCAGATCGGGCACTGCTGGGGTATATACAGCAGCACCTTAAAGTATTCTTCAAGGGACCAAAAATTAAGTGATAGAAAAATGGGGTTTAACGTCCACTCGATACAAACTAGGTCATTTTTTATTTGAATAATTCGCTTGCGCGTAGGGATCTTTAGCAGTGTGTGTGGGGGGGGGGGGAACCGGGGGACCCGGAGAAAACCCACGAGGTCGGACAGGCGACCCAACTCATTGTCACGTACAACCGAGGAATCGAAACCACGCCAGTTGAATCACTTACAGACCATATGATACAGCGGCGCACACGTGCTAACCATTTGCCCCGCCCCGCAATAAAAGAAATGAAAAAAATATATTAAGTCATAAGTTACATGGCTGAACCTTTCTAGAAGCAAAGGTATCCATAGCTGTAGTAATTATTTCACAAATCTAACCAAAATGTCTTAAAGAATTTCCCCAAGTGTCCATACGAGTAAACATCAACTGGTCAGATCGAGCACTTCTGGGGCATATAGCCAAAGAAGCACCTTAAAGTACCCTTCAAGGGGCCAAATATTAGGTCATAAGTTACATGGCTGAACCTTTCTAGAAGCAAAGGTATCCATAGCTGTAGTAATTATTTCACAAATCTAACCAAAATGTCTTAATGACTTCCCCAAGTCAGACCACGCCCAATATCTCCTCATGAGGCTAATAATATGGTTATACTTGGATAATATTTTTTTTTCAAAAATCTAACCAAAAGTTTGGGGGTTTTCCCGAAGTCAGATCGCCGCTCCAAAGTCGGTCCAACAACGCCCTAAAAATGTTTTTTCTGTGAGGTCATTAGTTGTTACATGGCTGAAACGTAACATAAATATATATCAGTGCATGGATAATGCGATTTTCGAAAATCTAACCATAAATGTGGGGTCTTTCTTCAAGTTAGGGTGACCTTTATAACTTAGCCCACCCCATTCACTCTATATAAAGCTTATAATAATGTATTATCAATGATACCTTTTTGAACAGCAGCAGGATTCAAAATACAAACACAAAAGAAGGACAAACTTTGTTAGCTACATGTATGTGAAATACTCATGAGAAATGGTATCAGGTGTTGTAAAAAGAGTAAGCATACCATGCCCAATTCACGCCACAATCCACTAATTATAGCTAACTGAATAGATAGTTAGGCCTAGTATTAAATTTATGTCTTTAAACGTTCTGTTTCCCTTTGTGGCACATCACAACCCCCATTCAACAATTATTCAGAATGTTATTCAACATTTTACCACATAGTGTAAAACACAAACACATATTTCCAAAACAAATGATGGAATGCTGTAATATTTTGAGCGTTGATTTGATCTACAATGTATATGGTTTTTTTGCTTTTCTGAATCTTTGATAATGAATAACCTCCTAATGGATTGCAGAAAATGTAAGTGACAGTTGAATTAATGAATTTATGAAAACTATTCATTTACATAGTTTTAATACACTATATAATTTGAACTATCCTTCCGTTAATTGCTAAATGTTAGTCCACATAACCCCAAAATTATTCGGACTGGAGATTAAGAATTATACTGCTTGCCAAAATTAACTCATTATTTTGTTTGCCATTTACTGTAAGCCAAACCATGCTTGGTTGTTCATTCGTTTTCATGCAATTCATTGAAGGACATTTTTGCCTGAAGAAAACTGGGAAGCCTTTTTCAAGAATGGCGTAGATTTGACTTTCGAACAAACTGTTAACGCAGATGTTCTTCTAGCCAAAGAATAGGGGCCAGTCCAGTGTACTCGATTGGTAAATAATCATTCAACTTGTTTAACGAACTTGGTTTAGATGAAAACGATGATATTTCCCATGATTTGGAGCTATTTGGCTGTTTATAGGAACACCCATTTCGAGTGTAAATAAGTTACACAAGAATTTCGGAGCTGCTTTATCAGTCTTTAGGAGCAAGCCATGCGATTCTACTGCATCTTTTAGTTGGACAGTGACAGTCCGACCTTTTTTTAAAATTATTAGAAAAAGCTGTCGATGGCCATGGGAATTGTTTTATTCTTCAATGGAGTCCTCGCTCTCTTGGGTATCCTCTTCATCTACGCAAATACTGTCAACTGATCTAGGAGTTACCTCATCATCATATAAAACAAATCTGCTATTATTCTGAATGGTAATTATGGGAATATTCGTTGATGCATTTATCCTTACAGTACAAGTGTGATTCGCTCTCTTGATTTTCAACGTTAATATGCATCGGCACGACAGCAAAGAGTCCGCTTCTATATGCATTTAATACTAGAGAGACACATATCGCCAATTGTTTGGTTTGTATTTCTTTAAAAATATTTCTAGAAGAATGTCATCCACTGAAGATATTTTAGATATTATGGCATAGACAATACAAACAAATCCTTCATTAACAGTATTTACACCAGAAGAATCGTATTTACTTTTATAAAAGAGCAGACAAGGCTTTCAGGACATCAACAGCTTTTTCAATTAATTTTGAAGTACAAACATCCCCTTCCCGCCTAAATTATGCAGTATGATCAAAGCCAGTGAGTGTGCTATGCTGGTAAAGACTCTGATAACGTTGCTCCAAGGTTCTTGTGTAATTCGTTCACATTTATACAACGAAATGTTGGTTGCTAAAACACCGACTTCCAAGCATAAATCCGTGGAACAATAACATCCATATTACCTGCAGGATTATTAGTATCATCTGTGCCGTTGACAACATAACTAGGAGATATAGGAGGGAATTAGGGTGGAATATTATTGAATCAGTCTCTTTTTAATATTAATTTGTTCATTTAATAGGAATTACTTCCTGGCCATAGTGGCTGCTTTGGCTGCAGATCCAATTTTAAAAATAAATTAATGGTTTTTCGAGCCAAAATCGAATTATTGAATGGGCTGGTTCCTGTTCTTTGGCTAGCAGCATCTGCGTTAATAGTTTGTTCCAAAGTCAAATATACATGCCTTATTGAAAAAGGCTTCCCAGGTCTCTCCAGACCAAAATGCCCTTTAAGTAATTGTATAGTGTATTAAAACTATGTAAATTGATAGATTTCATAAATTCAATAATTCATCTGTCACTGACATTTTTCAGAATCCATTAGGTGGTTATTCATGATCAAAGATTCAGAAAAGCAAAATCTATAGAAGCACAGCTCCGTATTACACCATTCAAATAAAAATATTATTTTTTTTTCATAATGTTGTAAGATTGAATAACATTCTGAATGAGTGTTGAATGGGGGTTGTGATGTGCCCCAAACGGAAATAAAATGAAATGGGGATCAACGTCCTACTGTTCTGCTCCTACTGGACTAATGAAGACGGGCATCCGCCATAGTGCACTATGGCGTACTCGTCTATCGAATTCCAACTGCTAAGGGGTCTTTTACGTGCATGGCAATGTATAAACGGGACCTCGGTTTTTCGTCCCATCTGAACGACTAGACAACTGTCCTTGTCCGGCCCTCCGTCCTGCACCACTGACAAGGGGAAACCACGTCGGAAAATCCCGATGAAATTTCTAGACCAGTGTAGGGAACGAACACGCCACCTCCAGACTAGCGAGCCAGCGGCTTACCCTCTTAGCCAACGTGGCTCCAAGCACAAAGGACAAACAGAACGTTTGAAGACATAAATTCAATACTAATCCTAACTATCTAATCATTAGCTGTAATTAATGCAATGTGCCGTGAATAATGTATGGTATGGTGAATAATTGTTGAATGGGGGTTGTAATGTGTCACAAAGGGAAAACAGAACGTTCGAAGTCAAAAATTTAATACTAGGCCTAAACTATCTATTCATTTAGCTATAATTAGTGCAGTGAATGGGGCATGGTATACTTTTACAAAACCTGATACCATTTCTCATTTGAGGATTTCACATACATGTAGCTAACAACCATATGTTCTACTTTGTATTAGTATATTGAATTCTGCTGCGGTTCAAAAAGGTATCATTGATAATACATTATTATAAGCTTTATATAGAGGGAATAGGGTGGGCTATGTTATAAAGGTCACCCTAACTTGAGGAAAGACCCAACATTTATGGTTAGATTTTCGAAAATCACATTATGCATGCACTGATACATAATATAGACCTTTGTTTCTGGTAAGTTTCAGTCATATAACTGATGACCATTGATATTATTATAGCCCCTGTTTTAGGGCAAGTTCGGACAGATTTTGGAGCGATCTGACTTGGGGAAAGCCCCCAAACGTTTGGTTAGATATTTGAAAATTACATTTACGAAGTATGGATCTTTGTTTCTGTTAAGGGCGTGTTCTGGCATACTTTAGAGCGATCTGACTTGGGGAAAGCCCCGAAACATTTGGTTTGATTTTTGAAAATTATATTTTCTAAGTATGGATCTTTGTTTCTGTCAGCCATGTAACTGATGACTATATTGTTAGCCCCGTGAGGAGATATTGGGCGTGGTCTGACTTGGACAAGGCCCCAGAAATTTTGGTTAGATTTGTGAAATATTTACTGCAGGTATGGATACATTTGCTTCTAGAAAGTTTCGGCCATTTTACTTATGACCTAATTTTTGGCCCCTTGAGGGATACTTTAAGGAGCTTCTTTGGCTATATGCTCCAGCAGTGCCCGATCTGACCAGTTGGTGTTTACTCGTATGGACACCCACTACAAATTTGGGGGGTCAGGCCTTTTGTAACTGATGACCATATTATTTTGTCATTAGCTCCTGGACTATTACCACACTCGGTGCAAAACGGTAGGACGTTAAACCGAATTCGATGTAAGAGGCTGCGAAAATATACACATGACTTCATCTTTAAAATAAATACCAGAAATTACATGAAAATAGCAACTAAATAATTTAATAGAAAATAATATTTGATTTATTTTGTTTCTCGTTGATATATATTTTTAATATAACAATAGATACTATCAATATGTACATATATATATGTATATGGTGATAACGTATCACATTTTAGGTGAGCTATGTACAAACAAATATACATTTTACACACATATCTGACGAAAAAGTCTAAGACCTAAAATATTCTCAGATCCAGTTTATTGGACATTTTCACTCAACTAAATTCCGGGCTTTCTAGTTTAGTAACGTTGTACTGTGTCTCTATAATATTTGGAACGTTTCCGTGCCTTAAGTTCATTTCTTGTTGGCACTTGCAAAACACAAAGTTGAAACTGGTCAGCATTTTATTCAAAATAACGGACCGAGCAGTGTCCGCCCATGCCAGTCTCCCAAACAAATTAAACGCGACATCCGGTATTCTAGAAAGCCTTCATCCTTTATATTTCATTCTTCAGAATTTACTCATCCTAAATAACGGATATTAACCCGACAAGCACTACTGCAAAAAGTTCGCTTTCTACTAAAAATCTACTATCAAATGCAGTTATTTTTTGTACAAGAAGTTTAGATTGGATCTGAGAAGAGTTTGTGTCTGCTTTGTGCATAATATGTACATTATTTTGATTTCTAATTTTTGCATAATATAATAAATAACCATTACAATTATCAAACACTTTCATCATATCCAGAAATATTTTCTAGTGTGGTATCTCCGACTACATGCTTAACATTTCAATATTCACAATCAATACGTAATGTGAGCATTTTAGTACAGGGAAGCATGGGACTCGAATGCTGGGCAAGATATTAGTATTTTATACAATGTATACCCAGATATGTAAATCAAGATATCCCATTAATTAAAACATTTATCAACAGCTACAAAGACAGAAGAGCAATCATTGTAGATCTGAGAGCTTTAGATGAATGTGTTATACATGGACATCGGATCAGTACTTCCATTTTAACTCTGAAGTATATTTAGCAGAAGCGGATTTATATTTTACAACAAATTCTGTGCTTAGAATCTCAGTGTCATGAAGCTACTATAACCATAATGTCACTTAGTACATGAACGTCTATACCACGTGTGCCCACCATAAATAACAAGAGTAAAAACACAGAAAGGAAGGGATGTTTATCTACTGGCTTCTAATTCTAGTAGTCATTATGGTGGTAAACTTATTATTGACACCAAGGATTATTGCTGTGATCTTACTTTATATTTATCCGATCATTGAAAATATTTATACATGTATTAAGACTAATATACGATTTCTGTGGCGTTATAATGAGTTCATTCGGTTATTTTTTTTACTAAGATACCGTTATACATGACAAAAACTCCAAATAATATCACATAAATATGCAGAAGTTTTGTTTATGTTAAAATGGGTAATGATGTTAAAATATGTCCATAATTTTCTACCATATGACTAATCTTAACACCTCGAAGTTGTAAACTTTTACACCACAGCAGGTTTTACGACATACCACGTGAGGAACTCCCGTAAATACGTCAACTGCCATGTTTGATAGGCAGCCACGCGCGATGTACGGTAATAATGCATACTGATAGTCTTCAGCACCGTAATTTAGGTCGAGACTATCTCTTGCGTGAATAGCTGACAACAAATGTTTCGAGTATGTCAAGAAATCGGATTACGCCAAGTCTACTTTGCAAGTCTGGTCAACAAACCTTCAGATCATGTTTACATCATTTATCTAACATCAACTACGGTTGGTTGAAACATGTCATCAAGGCGCCCTCTATGAACAATTGCAGCCACATATCTGTAACTAGTGTTGACTAACGAAACACGTCATTTATCATCAGGACGTGTGTCATTAATAAAGACTGTAATTTATAACGGGGCAATATTTGTTAATCATCTATAGCCACTGTATTATGCAACATGGCATGTTCTTTTATTGCTGCTGAAGTAAGGTCCGCCCTTGGTTCACGAGGAACATCTGTCGAACAGACAAACTAATTACTTAAATATTAATGATCAAACATGTACATCACAATTAGTTTTTACATGTAACATTTTGCATGACCATGCCGATCTAGGTATAGGCACATTTAGATTCATTACATAAGATTTGTTGTAGCAGCAATAACATGCACATTTATGTAGGATTTCTGTTTAGAGTTGTCATTAATGCATTCGATGAGCCTTGGCCACCTTCAAATGACCAATGTCTGTTTACATCGAGCAACGACCCTACATGTCCGTTATTCTCCAGTCGGCACCATCACAGATCGATCACAATTATTTAAGTATTTTTATTCAGTCACAAATCATGACCAACGGAAATTAATACCAGTCATCTGATAAAACTTTGAATTAAATGGCTTGAAAAATTCCCTGAGTCTGTTAAGCACTGTTGGATCCACATGAGGGTGAGTTCTGCCTTTATTGTTTCTTAAACAATGGGGTCTCCCACTACCCGGTCGCTTTTTAAGACAAGGAAAACCTCGACTATCTTTTAGGTAAAAATGTTTATCTGTGACGATTCGCTTTAATCCTAGGAAATCCTGCACCTTGGCCATTTCGCCGGCTGGATTTGAAATAAGTGTTTCACCATTCACAAAATGAATTTGACGGAGAGGAAAATATTTTAACCATTTTTCTAAATGTTTAGCGTAAACACCGATTTTAACCGCAGCCCATTTGGTGTCGACGATTCTCGATGTATTGTCTATAAAAGCCATTTTCTCAAACGGCTTCATTGCCGGTCTTTTTGTTGCCGCTTGGGTATAGTCTGATATTGCACGAGTCACAGGATCCCTTACAACAATGATAAGTTTGATATCTTTAGACATGTTATAAATTCTTTGCGGAACCTCTTTTGTGACGAAATAACATGGAGTTTTTTCTATGGTTATCTGACCTTCCAGCGTCGATGGCATCTGATCCCTGAAAATATAAAAAAATAAAGTAATCTGAGGAAAAAACAGAGATGGAAGTTTCAAGTCATCAATCACTGTAGCACACATGGTTAACTAAAGGATGTCAGCTCGTGTCAGCCGTTCTGGAAATAACGTTTTGAATAAAGGAATCGTCCAACAGCTATCCAAACGACCTGCAGTCATCACGGGCAAATGCTATAATAAATGATACAAGTATTTATAAATGGCAGCTTTTGAAATACCGTGTGTTCGATATTCAAGATAAAATTCATTTTGTTAGGGGAAAAAAATGTTATTTTTAGAAAAAAGAAATAACAGAAAAACTTATTATACATGAACATGGTAGGATGGTGCATGATGCTTGCTTGAACCTTTTCCTGTGTACTCAGATTACCAATCCTATTAATGTTATTCCCATCAAACATCCATTATTAAAGACAGGAAAATTGACCAAATCGCATCTAAAAGGAAATGTGTCGTAAACCGAGGAATAAAACTACCGTAGAATATCATTTGGTTCAATGCTAATATTGGCATATAAAAAGCCTTTTTTTCTGTACCGTTTAAGCAGTTGTAGGAGTTCCGTGAGATTTGGTAGTCAGTCCAACTTGATGAATGAGGTTTTAACGGAGCGAAGAATGTGAACTAAGAAGAAAGGAAGCCCTGTGGCAAATCGATCTTTTAAGAAGTATCGTGCTCAGATGCAAACCGATAACTTGAACTTTTAGCCGATCAAGTATTTTATATAGATAATTACAGACTGTAAAGTTAGATTATAATCTTATTGCTTTCATTGCATTTATCTATACATCAAAACACAATAGTTGGTCATATTGAATTTTGGGCTGAGTTATTTCATACCGGTGATATATGCTGCTAATCGTTTACATACATGCAAGTACACCCTGTAGACGAGATCCCTTTATTACATCTCCCGTCAACAAAGTATACATACTCGCCCGTCCTGCTTGCGACACCGAACCGCAGTAGGAACAAGGCTTACATGTCCAAATGCTTGTCTTTTTATGTACTCAAAACAACCGCTATGGTTTCCTTTCATGCATATATCAGTGATGTATTTTAGTTACCTGGATATCAAACAAATACAACCCTCTGTGAAAAGAAACCATCAATGGACCACTATTGAAAAAAAAACTTATCTGCCACAAAACATCTATATGTTTCAAATAAGCTGTATCCTAATCATATTTGAATTGGTTTGAGACTCCAAGCAATGGTTTATATAATGGCTTATTTGTGAGAGTTTTCTTCGTTATGTGTTATTCATGATAAATTGTCACTACGACTTTTAGTACCAAACCGATACAGTATTATGTTGATCACAACACATAAAAGAGTTTAACGGGAACCCCTTTCAGATATAACTTTTTTCGATATATATATATATTCCAAACTTTTACATGTAGATCCTATTATGAAATTGTTCGTGGAGTTTGTATCATCGCCGATTGTGTAAATAATACTAGCAATCGCTTTCAGCTAAATCTAAGCTTGATTTACTCTATCTAACGACCTACCTACCGCCGTTCAGCACGAACAAAGATAAGATTCCTATTTTAAAAAAAAAAATACCACGGCTACGGGCTATAATAGACCCATTATATTTGATTCTTCAAGTCAAAAATTTGGAAAAAGCTAGGTTTTGAGAAAAGCTGATATAACATCATATTAGTTACACCATAAAAATCATTTATCACCTCTTTTATCGTTTTAACAAGAAACTTTTCAAATTTTTCACACTTTTCCCGTAACCTTGGTATCAATATATTTAATGTACACAGCGAGTGTTTATGTTGTACACAGCGAGTTTTTATGTTGTACTTACACACAACAAAGACATGCTCTTTTTATTTCAAAAATACAAAAATTCTTTCATGGCAATGGCATTGTCTAGCTCTTTAAAAAGTGCCGGCGTCGTTTTTAAAAACAGATTTGGCGATTTCATTCGAAGGGCTGAACATTTTAACATAGATAAACGTAAAAAGTTCAACATATTAAGTATTGTTCCATTATAGTTTTGTCAGAGGGGGGGGGGGGGCGCATGTGCTTTGACTGTTTTTCTCCCCCTTTCAAATAAACAAGGATTCAATACACGCTGAAATGAATGCATTGTCTAATCCTAGTTGTATGTTGTTTATTAACATCGTCAGACGTTTATTTTTTTAGTATTACATTCCGCGTTTATTTTCCACATAAAGGCTGGTCAAATACAAGTTAATATTTCAGTCATAAAATGCAACACATATAATAAATATGGATGTAGTTCCGATACATGTAGGCCTACTCAAATGGATAATCCACAAAACTGATGCTCGATTGTATTTGAATATTTCTGTGTTTTGATTGTATTTAAGATCAACGTTACTTTGTTTTTGTATTGCCATAATGTTGATTGTATATGCTGTGTTTTATTATACGGTGTCTTTTTCTTATTTAAAGCGAAAGAAACGTGCGGAATTCTTCATTAAATGTTATCAGTGAGATCATCTGTAGTTATTCATGTATTCATGATCAATAATATCATAAATCACATCTCATATCACAAACATCTCTATTTCTATGTCACTTTCTATTTGTACTCGGGTTTATTCAACTGAGAAAATTTTGACGCTCTGAGCTTGTAATTGACTCGCTGTTATACATTTAGTCAGAATAAAAGAACTATTTATTGGATTCAATGCAATATTAGCGAGGGGTGACTTTACTGCGACGTTTGAAAATAACATAAGGAATCAATCAACATACCTACATTATTCCAGGCAGAGCTAACATGTTTCTGAAATTGACTACCCACGATCATATTGGCGACAGACAAAGCATCAGTACAACGCTCTAGACCATTCAGCCATCCACAGCTCGTTTTGGTAATTTAATCTTTTTGGAACACCAAACCGGAGTTGGATGAATGGCGTAACACACTCGCAGAAGACTAGTATGACCCACTAAGAAATAGAATGAAATGAGTTAAACTTCTTAGTTTTTAGGAACATATTGTGCGGAGAGCGACGCTCCTACCTACCCTTCGGCGAATTCCACCGCAGTAGACTAGAATGACCCCACTAAGAAATAGAATGAAATGAGTTAAACTTCCTAGTTTTTAGGAACATATAGTGCGGAGAGCGACGCTCCTACCTACTCTACGGCGAATTCCACCTAGGGTTATTTAAAGCGCACGCCAACGTATAGGTGGGATCTCAGCTGTTCGTTCCACCCGGCTAGTGAGTCCAGGGGAACATTCTCGGCCTAAATTCGATGTAGTATCAGTGACTTTAATATTTCGTATTATGCAGTTCCAAGCAAGTGTCCCCGGTATGAGTTAGATTAAATGATAAATAATGCAAGATGAAGGAAGTTAATTCGGAGCTATTGTAATATAGATTAAGCTTATGATTGATTTGGCATTTTTGGAAGATATCATAAGCTGATTAATGCTGATAGAAATGGAAAGATCAAACAGGAATGTTTTACATCAGCATGTCGACGGGCAAATCTTATAAACATCGCCAACAATATGCAGATTTATATAGATAATATTGGTACAGAACACCAGATTCCAGTCCTTGTGTCAAGACAACTGTCTCTTTTTCCTTTATGTTGGTAGAATTTAAATATATTGTTCTATATTCCGGCGCCACCCTTACTATAATTCTATATACATTTCTGATTTATTTCTTATGCAAGACCTTCCTTGAAACTTAAGACTATCAGAATATCAATAATAATATCAAACAGCATAGAACATGCACAGATCTATATTTGATACCACATGTACTTCATATATACAATGTTTCTAATCAATGAACACTCTTGAGACATGATCACTTTTCTATTCTTGTTGCATATCATACACTCATTTCTATAATTTGTAAGGCATGAATGGACACAGTCGTTCATACTTCCCCAGTGGTTCCAACTATCCCAGACAACGAAATCATTTCTTTCAGTTTTATGATTATAAATTCATTTGGGGTTCTTTCGGCTAGATTTGACATCCCGTTATTTCGCGAACATAATACAGGAACAGACAGATTGACTTTGCGTAAAATAATGGAGGTACTTAGATGTATGCTACGGTATGGCTAGTTTTCAATACGTTCAACATTATACAGATTACATCTACGTGTAGAAGATAAACCTTAAACTGAACAGTGGATCATGGTATTACTAAGAACGTATACAGTGTATTATGACGCTAAAGGACAAGTTATTCGATATACGTGTACGGTATTCTCCACCAGAAAGGGTCATTATGCGCAGACAATCTTTGGTTATACCAAATTACCCTATCACTGCTCAGTTCAAGACGCAACAGTGTCACGGATACAGATACACAGCAACTTCAATTTACCATCTGGGACATAATTATCAGCATTTATTTGAGATCAATCCAGACGTAATTCAACAACTCGTAAACGAAATTGCCCCCTTTACCGAATAAGCTGCCACCATTCATGACGTACCACAGGGATCAATATCGGTTACCTGTCAAAGTTAGTCTGGTCTAACGTTTATAAATTATAACCTCCTTATTGAGATTATTCAGTCATCTAATTCTAGTTTTCGTTTTTTCTAATTATAGTCAAAATTTCAAGCCGTCTTATCAATTATTCCATGCCTAAGTGAAATACGATCTGTGGATGTGGTTAAGAGGAGAGAGATCGAGAGGTGTTTTGCCGCCTATCTTTAACTTTTATATCATAAAAATATCTATTTGAGGAAACCGCCAAGAAGACTATAATATAATTAACTGAGTAAGTGGTTATGTGATAAATACAAGAGGCACGTCTGGGTCGATAATTTGATAATTTCCAACTGGTACACCTATACACAGAAATCTCCAATTATACACAATGCATCGTTTGAGAATTGAACAACAACAGTATTTTCCCATAATTTGATTTTAAAACATACTGTATGTCTAAAGATCAATATGCAAACAGACGTACGCCCAAATTTTCGCGTTTCGTTTGATACAGGAGCCGTGTT